AAAAAAAAAAAAGTTGGTGGCTGCCTGCCCCTCCTCCAGAGACTGTCCCCAAATATTGGCTGTCCTCAACAAGGGCCAGTCAGCCCAGAGCTGTGGATGGACAGTGGGTGTCAGAGAGGGTTGTGCAGTGACCTCCATTTATCCATCTCAGGCACCCCAGTGGGGGCAGGGCAGGAGCTGCAATCAGGTCAGATCTAAGTGGCCTTGATACAGCCAGGCTGCCTGACCACATCATGTCCTTTGTGGCACTGTGAGCTAGGCTAAGCCTGCAAAAGGAGGCTAGCCCCAAACTGGAACTTGCAATCTTAGCCACCACCAGTTTCATGTCCCTGTTGGTGTTGCTTGGGTCTTTGTTCTGAAAAGTACCTTCACGTGGCCAACTCTATTGCACCCTGGCTCTGTTATCCTTCTTTCCTGAAAACAGAGAAAAGGACATTTGGCCAATCATTTGGTCATCCAGCAAGGACACACAAACACATAAAGCCACATGCTTTGAAGCCAGGTGCTGATGGCTCACACCTATAATCATAGCTACTCAGGAGGCTGAGGTCTGAGGATCAAGGTTCAAAGCCAATCTGGGCAGGAAAGTCCATAAGACTTTTTTTGTTGTTATTGTTGGTGGTCACTGGGCTTGAACTTATGGCATGGGCCCTGTCCCTGAGCCTCTTTGTATTCAAGGCAGTACCACGTCCAGATTTTGAGTGGTTTATTGGAAATCAGTGTTTCATGGCTTTGAACTGGAATCCTTAGATCTTCAGCTTCTTGAGTAGCTAGGATTACAGGCACGAGCCACTGGTGCCTGGCTCATGAAACTTCACTTTTTTTTTGTTTTAATGTGCGTGTGCTGGTCCTGGAGCTTGAACTCAAAGCCTGGGCTCCCGAACTTTTGTTCTCAAGGCCAGTGCTCTACCACTTGAACCACAGATCCACATCGGGCTTTCTGGTGGTTGATTGGAGATAAGTCTCGTGGACTTTCCTGCCTGGGCTGGTTTTGGACAGTGATCCTCAGATCTCAGCCTCCTGAGTAGCTAAGATTATAGGCTTGCGCTAGCAACTCCAGGTTCCAAAAGATTCTCATCTCCATTTAAGCAACACAAAGCCAGAAGTGGAGCTGTGGCTCAAGAGGTACAGCACTAGTCTTGAGCAAAAAATGCTCAGGGGAAGTGCCTAAGTCCTGAGTTCAAACTCTAGGATGGGTACCAAAATAGAGAGGGAGAGAGAAAGAGAGAGAGAGAGAGGAAGAAGAAGAAGAAGAAGAAGAAGAAGAAGAAGAAGAAGAAGAAGAAGAAGAAGAAGAAGAAGAAGAAGAAGAAGAAAAGAGATAGAAATTTTATGTTAGACTTCCTGACCCTCCTCTTCCAAAGCAGTCAGGAACCTCAATCTGAGTTCTAATTAGAGCTTACTACCATATATTCATATATTTGTGTGTACGTGTGTGTGTGATGGTCCTGGGGTTTGAATTCAGGGCCTGGGAGCTGCCCAGAGGCTTTTTTTTTTGTAGGTCGTGGGGCTTGAACTCTGAGTCTGGGCGCTGTTCCTCAGCAATTGAGTTCAAGGCTAGTGCTCTACCACTTGAGCCACAGCACCACTTCTGGTTTTGAGTGGTTTATTGGAGGTAAGAGTCTCACTGACTTTTCTTGCCCGGTCTGGCTTTGAATCGTGATACCCAGATTTCAACCTCCTGAGTAGCTGGGATTACAGGCATAAGTCACCGGTGCTCGTCTTCCAAAGGCTTTTTTGCTCAAGGATAGAGCTCTTTCACTTGAGCCACAGCTCCACTTCCAGCTTTTTGGTGCTTAATTGGAGATAAGAGACTCATGGACTTTACTTCCTGGGTGGGCTTCCTATCACAATCCTCAGATCTCAGCCTCCTGAGTAGCTAGGATTACAGGTGTGAGCCACTGGTACCAGGCTGCCATCATATTATTCTTGGGTGGGTCACATACTCTCTGGGTTTCTCATCTATAAAATGGTCATTATTCCTGTCCTGAAGATTTATTAGAGTCAAAGAACTAAACTTACTTAACAAACAAACCATTCCAGTCTGAAGAGTGAGCTTCCAATTAGCCACAGGCCAAGTGGAAGCATTCTTGCAGAGAGCCCAGACCCTGGCCAATCACCCAGTGCAGCCGTTAGGAGCTATGCTGCTTTCTTCTTCCTGTCATAGCATGACCCCAGCAAGCTCACGGTAGAGAGCCCACAGCCCAGTCTGGAGTCCTGAGTCAGACCTGGGAAATGGATAAGCTAGAGAAAGGCAGCTAGAGAATAGGTCATGCTAAGCTTCACTGCGGTGGGGAGGGGTGTTTGGAAGGGGGTGGGCAGGCCAGAGTTGTGGGGGGAAGCCTTTGGCTGCCATAGAGAACAAAGGGGCTGGGGTTGCCAGGATATTCTGCAAGCTGAAGCTGGTGGTGATGGGGCTGGGAGAGCTTGAGGCTGTGGGAACCGTGCCTGCTGCCCTTACGTCAGTGCCCCATGCAGACTGGGCCTCAGGACCAGAGGAACCAGGAGGGACAGGAAGGAGAGAGCATGGGCCTCAACGCTGTAGCAGACACAGAGGACCCCCAGGGTACATGGCCACACACCCATCAGCGTCATCCAGGCAGCATCACAGTGGCACTATGGATACACACACAATCCTTGATGTCAGTCATGGGGCCACACCCATGATGGTCAGACTCACCCCATTTTTGTCACACAATGCCATACAAGTGTTGTCTGTCCGATGTCAAACACCCACATGGAATCATCCAATGTCATACAGAGTGGTACAATGACACGGGACCATGGAGGCAATGTCACAGAACATCCTAAGATGTAACCAGTGATGTTATATACTAATTAGTGGCCACAGGTCTCATGTCAGTCTTCCAATGGCACAGCTACACACCCTTTTTCATAATATCACACTCGATGTCACAAGTCCATTCCTGCAAGGCTTCACAGGGTTTCTAAGGCCTTGAAGCGAACCTGTCATCTGTCTCTCAGCACACACACATCCATGCGTGGGAGCTAGATTTGTGTCCAGCACAGTGTGCCCAGCTTCCAGTCCTCAGCCCCTTGCCACCTTCAAAGCTGGTCCTAAATGCCAGATCACCCTAAATGTCAGATCATCCTGGGGTGAAGGCTGTCCGAGTCACCAGGTCAGGCTCCCCTGCAGCAAGAGTAGCCTACAACCAGCAGGATAGATATGGAGCCACAGGAGCCACACAGAAGCTATGTGGATATGGCACACAAGAATACAGGAGTCAGAGACCAACCAAGACCATCGAGCTGGGTCACCTGGAGGGAGACCTGCAGGGAAGGGTCAGGTCGAGGTAATCCATGGAACTGATTGGACTTTAGGGAAGCCATCAGGGCAGAAAGTGGTAGATACCTTGAACAGATTTAGTAACAGCAGCTGTCATTGTCTGATTCTAGTAGGAATCAGGACGCTCTCTCATGTGATCTTAACTCCTCCGGCCACTTGTGGGGAGCTATTTACTGCCCCCTTTCCTAGAGGAGATAATGGTCGCTTCTCAAGTTTGGCCTCTTGCAGATACATAGGGGGTGGCTTCCACTTCTGGGAAGTACAGGCTAGAAGGGAGGGGCTTTTAACTCTGGACACGGCTAAGCCGGGAGGGGCACTAAGAAAAGGCTTGAGTCCCTACTTGAGACTGGCAATAGTACCATGTGCCCTACACCTGTAGGTGTGCCAGTGAGGGCTGGCCTTAACCATCTGTAGCCTGTGTGTTGCCAGCAAGGGCGGGGACAGGCAGGAGCCAAAAGCCCACTGCCCCCTACTGGCCAGGATTTCCCCCACCCCCAGCTCCTAGGACCCTCCCATCACCTTGAAGTTGGGGGAGGGGTGCTGCAGTGTGCCTTGTGCTGGGGTAAGGGTGCCCCCAGCTGCAACACCTCCTCCTACTCCCTGCTGGACACCCCTCTTTGGCAGAGCCGCCTGGAGAGATCACAGGCAGCCACATGAAAGGGAATTTTCCCAGGCAGAGATTCAGTTGAAAGCTGCCTCTCCCGCCCCCACCTGCCCCTGCTGCGCCAGGCCAGGCTGCTGAGGTCCTGGTGCTCCAAGGGAGACTGGGACAGGGGGAAAGGGTTGGGGGGTCAGGACTACCCCCCCTTTCTCCTTCCAGCAACAATGGCAGAGACAGCCCATCTCCCCCATCTCACCACCCACTCAGCTTCAGAAGTTTCTCTCTTCCTTTGTTCTGAAATCCCTCACCTACCTGAAGTTAGATTCCACCATTCATTGTCCTTCCTCAACTCTAGCCATCATCTCCAACAGGCTCAAAGTAGCTGGTGGGAAGAATGGATGGACAGGCTCATCCTTCAGGATGGTCTCTGTGATAGGTAGGAGGGACTCAAGCCAGATAAATGGAGCTGATGTAATGCCACCCTCTTCCTGTTCAGCCTAGAACATCTGGTTGGCTGTGTGGTGACTTTCCCAGGCATCTGGCTTCTGAGATCCCAGACCTTTGCCCAACAAACCCTCCTGGGGTGGAGACACTCCATCCCCAGGAACATCCCCTTCAACTGTCTGGTCACCTTGAGGCTGAAGAGAAATACAGAGCAGGGTACCAGGTATGCACGTGACACAGCCAGGTCTCCAGGACCCTGGTTAAAACTGCTCCCCAGGAGTCACATCAGTAGCTTGAAGATTGGGGGTTATACTCATTCCAACGCTGCAGACTCCTCTGCACGGGTCAGGCCTGATGTTTGAAGCTGAGGTAGGAGGGTGGTCCTATGTACATGAAGATTCCTCACAGAGGCCCAGCTGAGATAAGGAGTCTGTGCAGGTAGGGAGGTACTCTAGGACCAGCCCCTTTCAGATGAAGACTACTACTTCCACCTTTGGCTGCCAGGCTAGGTGCTCATCTGGCCCCTGAGGGATCTCAGTGTCTCAGGGACTTTCGTCTCCAAGATGGTACCGCATAGCCCTCTGCCCAGCAAGCCCCCAAGCCAGCACCCCCCCCACCACCAAAGTAGAGAGCAATAAGCCAGTCATAACTTGTGACACAAACATGCATTCGTTTTATTCACAAAACAGCCTGGTTTCCTAAAACAATACAAACAGCATGTTCATCAGCAGGAAGCTGGCCGCGGGCAGGGACCCCTGGGCACCCACCCCCACTGGCAGGGGACCACGCAAAAAAAGCCCTTTCTTCTGCTGCAATTAGCAAGGCGGAAATGAAAGGGACTTATTTTCTTTTCTCTAAGGGAAGTAGCCAGGATCAGAAATATCTAGACATGGGCTCCCAGGTCTCAGTGGATCAATGAACGGCACTTTCATTTTTCCAAAATTACCACTGTCGGGGTAGGGGGTCCCAGTCAGGATGGTGGGTGCAGCACAGCTGGTCTGGGCTCGGGGGGTTGGGGAGGACCCTACCCTGGCAAGCTCGGCCTGACAGCTCTGCACACGTGGATGGATAGAGGGGCTTCTATACGGCGCCATCAACATTCTCTTATAGACTTGAGTGGATTCTCCAGGCAACTATGCACTATTTCATGGTCGGAAAGAATCAAAGGAAGTTTAAATGAGGGTGGAGTTAAACTGTGCTAAATTACAGTAGTGCTTATTAGTAACTAGATTTCAAAAGGTTACAGAAAATTTACATTCTCTACACAAAAACGGCATCTCCCGCACAGACAACATGACATCGACACAGGAAGGAGACTGATTGTCCATTCTTTGCCCAGGAAGTCTCGGTACTTTATAGATTCGTCTTTACCTCTTTTTGTTTGTTGTTGTTGTTGTTCTTTTTCTTCTTCTGAAATAGCAGTTATATTTTTTCTTTCTTTTTATACTAGGGACGTGGAGATGTTAAAACGACAACAAAAAATATATATATAAAAACAGGAATGAAATCTGTGAGAGAATATTTTTGGTTCTAAAGACGGGTGCATCCGTTTGTCTTCGCCCGAATCCCTTGCCGGAGACCACACGAGCAGTGACATTGCACGGAGAGGGCAGCTTTGGGTTCCCGCCGCCGTCACTGAAACCACCGGAAGGCAGCTCCCGTCGGAAGCATCACCTTCTGGCGGGGCGGGAGGAGACAAAAACAAGGAGAGAGTCAGGGTCCTGGTGGGCCTGGTGCAAGACGCTCCCCTGTGGACGGCTCCTGGCAGAGGGATGGGCATGGAGTTACAGGCTGCCACCCCTGGAGTTCCTGCTCTCCTGGCCAGGCCAGGGAAGGTGCAGTGACCCATTGGAGGGCCCAGAGCACCCTGAGGCCTCCTGAGCCACTATGCCCAGGAATCCTTTCACTGTCCCAAAGGCACCAAACAACAGGTGGCAATGGTGCATCTGGGGGTCAGGTCAGCTTCTGTCAAACGAGCGTGCACACTGGCCATGTGCACGGTGCGTGCCTCACGCTATGCTGGGCTGTGCAGTGTGAAGAGGACTATCTGGGGTTCAGCAAGCAGCTGTGTCTATAATGAGAGGATGCATACTGGGCAGGTGCGTGCGTGCATCTACAAAGGATGAAGGTGGGTGCCTTGGTGTGCGCATAGGACGTGTGAGGGTTGGGAAGTGGCCCGGAGGCCACAGCTGGGGTACCATCATTGTTTTCCAACCACTTGGGTATTTATGTCAGGCCCACTTGGAGAGGGGCAGGACCTAGGGCAGAGAGTAGTAAACTGAAAAGATGCTTTGTACCCAGGCCTGGCACTGGAGCTAGGTGGCTATGTCTGGGTGAACAGGGACGGGCCCCGGCACAATGGTGGAGAGAAAGCAGCATAGAAAGCTCTCTGCCTTCTCTAAGCAAACCCCATGGTGGATAAGCCCTTGCCTGTACCCCAGGCCCATGGCTAATCATAACCCACGGCCCCAGATCTGTCACCTAGATGCACAAACCCAGGTTTGTCAGACTTCACAGCAGGGCAGTGATATGAGAGCTCTTCTTTCCGTAGGTGGCGGTGGGAAAAGAGCAGCTAGACTCTGAGGGACAAGTGCAGGACCTACCCTCAAGGCCACAGGGCCGGTGAGACTGAACTCCTGAAATTGGGGATGGGACAGTGCTAGAATCTTAGGTCATGGACTGGATGCTCTAGGACAATTCAGGAATTCTATGGGAACCTTAATGTCAGACCCAAGTCTTACTGGGAATGCTAGGCCCCTGCCTGTTGGGAATCTCAGGAGGTGGTTCTGAGTTTTAGGGCAATTAACTGGTTATCTCACAGCCAAACTGCCAGACCCCAGGACTTGCCCAGGTAGGAATGGTGGCCTAGGGGTGGGTTTGGACTGCCAGACTGATGCAAGAGCCCACAGACCTCCCTCTAAGGCGCTGTTACCTCCAGAGCAGCGGAAGGCTTCTTTTTGAGTTCCTCACATTTTCTGAATTTGCAAATCTGATGGCCAGTCTTTCGATTCCTACAACTGCTGCACTGCTCACAGTTGATGCGCCGCCGGCAGGGCGCACACATGCCGCAGCGTTTCCGCTTCTTCTTGCCCGAGCTGATGGCAGAGGCCAGCTCTCCCTGCATGGGGTACTCAGCCAGACCAGCCATGTGCAGCGCGCTCTCGGCCAGGAACACACCTGCCGGGGTCATGATGAAGAGGCCTGGGTTGATGGGGAAAGCGCCCAGATAGGGGAAATCAGACTGGCCGTTAAGGGCTTCTGCACCAGCCACCGCCTCCATGTCAGGCAGGCCAGCGCCTGCCTCACTCATCAGCGGCAGATGCTCCTGCACCACACGCTTCAGCATCTCTGTGGACTGAGCGAACTGCTGCAGCGTCAGCTGTCCCTCGGCTGCCAGCTCCGTGGCCCGCTCGGCCTTGCTCAGCAGGCTGGCCACAGCACCACTTTTGTGCTTTGAGGTAGGGTTGCTTTTGTCCATTGCCATGGCTGCTGCCAGGTCGTGACCATTGGCCAACAGGGAGGCCGCGGCTGCAGCGGCAGCAGCCTTGTCAGCAGACTCCCCGCCCATCATGCTGCCACTGCCACCACTGCCACCGAAGGAGGAGTAGTGGGAGAGCGGGCGGGAGCGACGCAGGCTCTTGTTGAGAGGTTCGCTGATGATGCCGCTCTTGTTCCGACGCTCGGGGGGTGGTGCATCATCTGCCACCGAGGCCGGCGCAGCCGTCACGGCTGCACTTTTGTCTGTCGCTCCTGCCTTTGGGCCGCTGCCATTGGTGCTGCTGCTGCTGCTACTGCCGGTGTCCTGGGAGCCACCGCCAAGGCTCGACATGGTGGGGCCGAGGCCCAGACCCTGCTGCTGGAGGAGCCTGCCAACTGCTAGGGGTTCACAGATGAGCACCTGGCCCTGCTGCTGCCCACAACAGAGATGCTGGGTGGGCCTCGCTGCTCAGGGCAGGCGCATGGTCAGGGGTCCCAGTGGAAGTGTCTGTACTCTGTTGGGACAAGAAGGTACAGGGTCAGGGCAGCAATCAACCCTCCTACTTCAATATCCCCATCTGTATTGCCATGGCAACAATGACAAGCCTGACAAGACATGGCCACTGAAGTGTCATGGGGGAGGCTCAGACCAGGTCTTTCCTTTCCTTCCAGAGATCAATGCAGGCAGCCAGCTCTTCTAGGCTACACTGATGAGAGAGTTATAGCCATCGCTGCCTCCTAATTTTATTCCCCTAACCCATCTTCTAGGAAGCTGCTCCTGGACCCCCCACCTGGGAGATTTCTAATACACACCAGTTATTTTAAGGCTCTGGCAAGTTCTGCAGGTGAAGGTGTATGTATGGCTTCTTAGCTGGAGCCAAAGTCAGCTAACAGAGCAAAGGACCCTTAGTTCAAGGAGGAGCTACCCTGGTGCTCCAGGATGAGCAGCACTGGGCTGGAGAATGAGATTCCCCCTGTGAGAATGGGAGGACATGCATGCACATGTAGCCATCCACACCTCCTCCTCAGCTCCAACCCAGTCACTGTCATCTCAGACTCTCCTTTTGTCTCCCCAGGGGCCTCTACTGGATGGGGAGATCTCAGGAAGCCTGACGAGCAGGGCCTTCAAGGAGGTTCAACTGCGAATCCAGACTGCAGGGATACACTGTAGGCAGGGGGGGCCTCTGGCTGGGGCAGGCTGGGCTATGGAGAACACGTGCTCCTTGAGGGAGGGAAGACAAGCAGGGCCTGTCCTTTGGCCTTCTTAGGTACCCCTTCCCAGGATAAGGCCTGCTGCACTCTGGCCTCAAGTTAGGGCACTGTAGCATCAGCCTCCCTGGTTGGAGGCAACTGGTCCAGGTGGAGCAGGTGGTCATTTCCTCATCAGCCCTGGCTCTCTTATGTCCTTTCCCTGCCTACCTGCCTGTCTGTCTGTTGTGGACCAGCAGCCCCCAGCAGGAAAGGGGACAGCAGGGTGTAGCCCCTGAGCAGCTGGTGGTTCAAGGGAGAAGCACACATCTGGAAAACTCTGTTGTGCATAGGCTTTGGGGTAGAAACACATTGAGTGTCCCCAAATAACCCTATCACCTCCCAATCTAGCCGCCCTGGCCACTCAGCCTACCACAGATCATCTAGACCAACCCTGTGCAATTACAGAAACAAAGTCCTTGAGGTCGCAGAGCCTCTGCTCCAGCATCACCAACGAGTGGCCACAGAGTAACAAGTATGGTCATGGAGGAACTCCAGGGTGAGGCAAGTGGCAGACATTGACCTCATACCATACACTTCCCAGCCCACCTAGGGCTCCTCCTTGAAGGGAGATGGGTGGAAAGGAAGAGCTGGGTGTGGCAGAGTCCACAAGAGCAGATAAGAGGACTGGGAGTCAGAAGTCAGTAGTAAAAGGAAGGAGACAATCATGAATCTCAAGGATCTCTCTGTCTCACCTTCAAGAACTAAAACTCCACTCCTCAATGAATGGTAACCCTGGCTAGGAGTGTGTGTGTAAGGAGGTGGTGGGTGCAATGGTGCTAGTAAGACAGAAGTCATCTCTTCCAGCTCATCTGAGCTAAGTTACCCTGTCCTGAGCCACGGCCCCAAAGCTTTTCAGATCTAAGGAAGGAGATCTGAAGATAGGGGTCTATGGGCTAGAAGTGGGAAAGAAAGCAGTTTGCCCCTAGCCTGTGGAGTCCCCTCCACACCTCTGCGGCCTGCTAGCTGGTAGCAGAAATCGATAGCTGCATTAACACTGCTCTTGCTCTGTTCCCTCCCTCCCTCCCTCCTCCAGCTCCAGGATCTGGCTCTGTGTGCAGGGCGGGCAGGTCAATTAGAAGTCAGCTCCCTCCAACACAGCCAGCTTGGTTCAGGCTTGGCGCTCTCTTGGGCTGAGCCTCTGCTTTTGTCTCTATCCCCAGTCCCTCTCTGTGGGAACAAACTTCATGTTCTCTTCATCCGCTCAGATCCCCTACTTTTTGGTCCTCCCTTAGAGGAACCCCCCCCACACCATCATGCCCCCAGGTCCTGGGACACGCTGAGCTCGGAAGGAGCTCAGGAGAGAGAACGTGATATGTCACTGAACAGGTGCTGCAGGCAGAATGCTGTGGTTTGTCAGCCACAGGCACTGAAGGTGGGGGTAGATACACAAGGGGGACTAGAAAGGGAAAACTGTCCTCAAACCCAGAGGACAGACATCCACATCTAGTCCTCCGGGTTCAGTTCGAGTCTCAAGCTTGTTTCAAAGCTGCCTCATGTAGTCCTGCAAATATCGTAGAAAGCTGAAGCTCTGGTTCCAGTGGAACTCTTACCACAGACTTCATCTGCCCTACTCACAAAAGGGGTAACAGAAGTGATATTCTCGTAGGCTCCAACCTTCGTAGTGCAGGACACCCAGCAACACCACCCAGGCCAGAGGGGGCCTGGCAGTGCCCAGGCAGCAGGGGAGGAGCTGGGGCTGCGTTGAAGCGGAGCGGGAATGAGCGGGAGGGAAAGCTGGCGGGCAGGCGGGCGGCGGCGGGCGCATCCATCATCAGCCCTGCCAGGAACGCATCCAGCCCCCAAAAAGAAATACTGCGCCTGAGGAGGGACAACAAAGGGCTCCGTTTCATCAGCAATGCGGAGCCAGCGCCCTGCCGCCCCGCCAGCGGCGGTCAGCCCACAAAGGACCCCTTTGTCCATGCAGGAGCCGGGCGGCCGGGAGCCGGGACCAGGGACTGATGAGTGGGGACAGAGCAGGGGGTGGTGGTGATGAGGAACCAAGTCATGGAGAACTGGGGGGCAGTTGGGGAGAAGACGGTAGAACAGAGACAGGTGGGAATAGATAGGGAATTGTGTCACCACACTGCAGAGTGGGTCAGAGAAAATGGAACCTGGAGGAGGGCTTCGGAAGTGTCAAGGTTGAAGTGTCAAGGATGTACAGGGACCAGAGACTGGGGAGATGAGGCTTAGGGAGACCCAGCAAGGCACCTTGTCCAGGCTAAGGGACTTGAGGTCTTGTGACATAAAAACAGAGCCCTAATAAGAAGGGACTAAGAAAGCAGCGAATATGCCCATAATGGGAGAAGAGGAAGAAAGCCTGATGAGACCACCATGTCCGAGGAGAGATGAAGAGGAGGGCGGGGGCTTGAAATAATTCCTTGGAAAACAAGTGGAGTCACAGATGGGCCCCCTGCTGGCAGCGGCGTCCCTTTGCCTACCTTTACCTGTAGAAGAATCTAACCCTGTTCCCCTCTACTGTCAAGCACAGAACTTGCTCCCTTAAGTAGCAAGGTTCACGCAGGTTCCCTTAACTAACTCCCCTTATCACTTAGCCCTTACTGAATACCTTCTGTGGTCTGGTGTTCTTAAGCTTCATATGTTAAGGTATTACCCAAAAACACAGGAACTGTTAACCGGCTTCAGAGATGAGGAAATATGCTCACAGAAGTTCAAGCTCTCAGTCCAAGGTCAAACAGCTGGTGCCCAGATGTGGAACTTGAACTCAGAGCTCAAGCGTTGGTCACTCTACTCTGTAACTGCCTGGGCAATTAATAGTGGCCCAAGGCAAGGTGACCTCATTATCATGCCGTCCCCTACCCCTCTAGGATTGTTACCATGCCTATCACCTCTCCCGTGGTCAAGGGGGTGAGCTGTTACAAACCCCACTTGGGGCCTCAGACAGGTACAAGCAGGAACACGGATTTCTGGGCCAGTGACATCATAATGCCAGCTGGCAATGAAGTCACTGGAGGTGGTGGTAGTGCCTTTACTCCACCCCCAACAGACATGCATATAGGTATGAATACGTGTCCCACAGCTGAAGATTACAGATGCTGGACTGTCCTCTCCTCATCTTCTCCCATAACAGCCCCATGTCCTGTGACAGTGGAGAAACAGCAAAAGACATGAGCCCTGGTCCTATCCCCAAGAATGCACAGGAGCTAGGCTGACGACCACACAGCTGGTATAGGGACCAAGCAGGTTATAGGGCCTTCCTAGAGGAAGGGGCTGCCAGGCTAAGAGCTAAGGACAGAACAAGATTGCCAGGGGGCAGTAGGTAGAAGGTGTGGCTATGAACTTGTCAGAGTCCAAACTGAGCAGATGACAGGATTTTTTGCTTCCCTCATACTGGGGATTGAACCTAGCTTCATATGTGCTAGACAAGTGTTTTACCACTTGAGTCATGACTTCAGCCCTAAGATTCTTCTTTTGCCAGCAGTGGGCCTTTTACTCAGGGCTCCATAATCTCATGATCTCACTTGGCTACCCCCATCCCCCATCTTAAGGCTGATGCTAATTAATTGGAGATGAGTCTCACTCACCTTTCTGTCCAACCTAGCTTGGAACAAGTGATCCTTAGATCTCAGCATTCTGAGTAGCTAGGATTACAGGCATAAGCTACAGGCTCCCAACTTCCTAGGCTATAACGGAGTTAACAGCTTTTTGTTGTTGTTTGGTCTTTTTTTTTGGTTGGTCATGGGTCTTGAACTCTGGGCCTGGGCACTGTCCCTCAGCTCTTCAGCTCAAGGCTCCGCTCTACCACTTGAGCCACAGTGCCACTTCTGGTTTCCTGGTGATTAACTGGAGATAAGAGTCTCATGGACTTTTCTGCCCAGGCTGGCTTTGAACTGTGATTTTCAGATCTCAGCCTCCTAAGTAGCTAGGATTAGAGGCGTGAGCCACCAGTGAGTGGCTAAGGTAATACCTTTCATACTATAAAATTCACTCATTTAAAAAATGTAATTCATGGGCCGGGAAGGTGGCTCAGTGGTAGAGTGCTTGCTTTCCATGCATGAGGCCCTGGGTTCGATTCCTCAGCACCACATAAGCAGAAAAAGCCATAAGTGGCGCTGTGGCTCAAGTGGCGCTGTGGCTCAAGTGGTAGAGTGCTAGCCTTGAGCTGAAGAGCTGAGGGACAGCGCCTAGGCCCAGAGTTCAGGCCCCATGACTGGCAAAAAATAAAATAAAATATAATTCATGGGCTGGGAAGGTGGCTCAGTGGTAGAGTGCTTGCCTTGCATACATGAGGCCCTGAGTTCATTCC